AAATATAAAATAGAACACAGTCTGGAAGAACACTTAGCCTATAGCGGGCGATATCTAATATGTAGAAAAAATATTGAACTGTTAACATAACTAAAGTTCTAATAAATTGATTTTTTTCCTTTGGGTAATCGCATAGTTTTCTTAAAAACACTACAACTTTATAATACCAACTATCCCCAGCAACAAAAACAGCACACAATATTGAGCTAAACCACAACATCTCGTTAACAAGCCAACTTAATCCACTATAGAAATTTTGTTGCCGAGCTGTGAAATGACGTACCACGTACCCAGAAATAAACTGCAGTTCACGCGACAAATTTTATAAGCTGCTCTGTTCTTCCTTATCTCAATTAAGTTAAGTGCTCCCTTAGCTAAGAAACTGTTTAAAAGCTATTTATCCAAGCAAATATTGTATAGAGCTCACTTGAAGGATCAATCAGAGATAGATGGATGTTGGTTTGGATCTCCAGAACTACTGCATAGATTTCGCTGAAATTCGGCATAGATGTAGAACATAATCTGGAAGAACTCACAGGCTTCTTTTTTTATTTCGTGCGGACAGAGGCGCGAGCGACAGCTAGTATTAGTTAAATGAAGAAAGCGAATAGTATATTAAAAAGATTAGTGACTTTCCTGATTGACTTCAAAATAACTGCAGTCTAAACAAAGTTTGGAGTACCCTAAAACAAACTCTACTAGAACTACCATATTTAAATTTATAATATGGAGTAGTATACATAATATCTACTTGTAATTTGACCATTACCCTATTTTCTAATGAAAGCAAAGGATAAAATGTCATATCGGCTTTCAGAGAATTTCATTCAGGGGATGGTTAGTAGATAGAGACACCGAGTATTAACGATCCGTCTCGTCCGTTTGTACTGTGGCATATATCGATGTAGTTTTACTTGGATATATGTAGAGAGCGACGGTGGCTCAAGTGTCAAGCACTTGACTTGCAATCTGCAGGTCCTGGATTCGAATCCCGCCATGTACCAATGTGTTTTTCGATTTCCGATTTACATATGTAAAAAACATTGTGATGCAACCTGTACATATCTGAGAAGAAATTCAAAGATATGTGTAAAGTTATCCAACCCGCACTGGGTCAGCGTGGTTTAAACAATACTTCTTCTTGTAATATAGACCTCATTTCGGTACACTTTAATTGACCCATTCTTAGTTTTCCTTTTAATCTGCTAGACAATTTGTCTATTCTTATTTTATTCAAAAACTAACCGTCGCCCGCGACTCCGTCCGTGTTAAATTATAAAAAAACTTTATAAATAGCCTATGTATTCTTTCAGACTATGATCTATATCTGTGCCAAATTTCACCAAGATCTGTTAAGCAGTTCCGGAGTTACCTTCAAACAAACATCCATCCATCCATCCATCCATCTAAACATTTAAATCCCATATTAAAAAATACTACCATCACCATTATTAGACCACACTGAGGGGGTTTCGAGCCTACCCTAAGTTAGGAATGACTAATAGTCAACCACGCTGGCCTAATATGGTTGATTGGTGCAAGTAAAGCACATTATCCTTTTTGACATAAAATCAAATATAAATCGCATATTTCATTAAAAAAACGATACAATGAAATCTAAAGCAAGAGATATCTGAAACGATACCCGGTTATTTCTAGAAAATATTCCTTTCATTTCTTCATAATATTAAAGGTTGCGAACGTCTGAATTTTATAAGGAAAAATCTAGACGCAATTACGTTGCATTCCGAGCTCCGAGGCGGAGTGAAAAGCTACGGATACAGCTTAGTTTTACACAGGCCCCCGCCCCCGCATACAAGTGCAATTTTTAATTTCACGCAACTTACTCCGGTCTAGTTGAATATTCAAAGCATGAATTAATAAAGAACCTGGCAGATTCGATAGGAAATATACATGAATAATCTAGGTTAGTTTATAGATAAAACTAATAGTGATACCACTTATTTATTTATATACATTTCTAATATAATACACTTCATATAAAAAAAATATACAAAACATATTATATTAAAAAGAGAACACCACCGGCTGCGGAATCCCATGATATAACTTCTAATGATATCTTATTTCTTATGATTCTTTAGCTTATAAACTTTTTAGGCAGATTCAACATAAAAAATCTTTTACGCTGAATCTTACTTACTGTTTGTTTTTGAGACCAAAATATATCGTCATCACTCTCATTATCTTTGACAAAACAGAGATGACAATATGCTTTATTAGATTCTTTTTTATCTAGATAGTGATACTATTATTAAGATATTTTTTCCTTTAAATTTAAGAATAACGAAGAAAACAGTTAATTGGATGTAAATAATGGCCGTTAGAACAAGGAAATCGTTATGAGATTTTGTTTTATAGAATGAGGATAACGAATAAGTAGCTTAATGTTGAGATTATACATTAATAAGTTAATAAGAGATTAATGATTATTAATAAGAGAATAGATTGGGTTGCGAGAGTGCACTGGATGCGGGCGGCACAGGACCAGGCATTGTAGCAATCGATGGGGGAGGCCTACGTCCAGCAGTGGACAAGTTTAGGCTGATTATGATGATGATGATGAATAAGAGAATTATTTAAGAGATAATAATAGAATTATTAGAGATACTCTTCAATATCAGTAATCCTAAATGTTTAAATAATTGTTTATTATTTTCGTCAAAAAAGAGATATCTGAGTTATTTACACAATTGATTTTAAATTACGTTACATTTTAAAGGTCTACGATGATTTAAGGTTATACATTTTCACAAATAATTAGATATTGTAATATTTAGGGTTCCGTACCTCGAATCGAAAAAAAACCCTTATAAGATCACTTTGTCCTCTAATATCTGATTAAAGAAATCGATAGCAAATGAAATATTTTTTTTTGTTTTGGTGCTGCGTTTGGCTAAAGACTACTGTTATATGGAAGGCTACATCGAAGGCCAATATCTGTGTCAAATGGTTATTTCTCCTTTAGATTAAAAGGTTTTTTTGTAAGCTAATGAAGTAGGCATATGCAGAATACACGTCGTGAAAGAATCTCTTGAGAGTACCTTGTGAGCCGTGGTATACGAGGGCTCTAGACAGTGCGACGACCTCAAAACACGTGTAAAAAGATATCGATGCTATACTTTATTAATTTTTAAATATTACCAAGCCTTTACATACCTAAAGAATTACTTTAACTGAATTCTATCTTAAATTCTAATCTGTTTCATCTTTAAAATCTTATCATAGTTATTATATTTTCTTTATAGATTATTAAATGGACTGGACTAAGCTACTTATGGCTATGTATATATCCTTATACCGATATAAAGTAATCATGTCCAAAATAAACAGAACTGTTTAATTTCGAACATTAAATTCACACGTACAAATGTTACTACGACAACACAGAAACATATTTTTATAGGTTATAAACATTGCATAGTTTCTTAACACGTTGACGGACAGTAGGAACAAGCGAAGTTCGAAAATTGACACTATATGTTTATGTGATTTTTAGAATGTTAGAAGTATAATTTTACTCTTTCTGCTTAAATAAACTTAATTTTGATTAATTTAGTACCTTTAATTAGGTTGCAGCTATAACCACCATGGCGCCAGCGGACTCTATACACTAAGTGATAGGACGATATATAACAGGTGAAATATGAACTTCAACCTAAAAAGATGTTTTCAAAACACGACACTATGCTTCTACGTATACGCCAGTAAGTGCACATTTGTGCTGCTATAGCCGTAGTGTCTAAAAACGACCGTTTCGTTTTGGACGGCTATAGCAGTCATGCCACATTGTGAACTTCGCTTTGACGGCTATAGCCGCAATTGTCCGTCAACGTGTTAAATAAAAAGGTAAATTTGCTTAATTATAAATGAAAGAACTTAATCAGTTAATTACTCGTTAAGCTTTTTACTTAACTATTAACTTTTAACTTTCCACTGCTATTTGCTTTGAAAGAAAACTATTAATCATATTTTAACTATCATTGATAAATAATACAGTTACTAATAAACCAATATTGAAAAAAAAAATGTCCACCTTTTCTTTGTGACTGATTTGTCACTGTTTGCCTTGAAGAGGCATTTACAGCTTCACCGGGCTTGAGGTGGGCGAGCGCAGATGGCGCTTAGCCTGAACCTCGTTTAAGAGTAACAAGACTCGAGGGCTCCCTCAGGAGCATCCGCTCGGGCTGTTACTTCAATGTCCACATTGTAGACCTAGCTTATAAACTTTTCAGGCAGATTCAACATAAAAAATCTTTTACGCTGAATCTACTACTGTTTGTTTTTGAGACCAAAACATATCGTCATACCTCTCATTATCTTTGACAAAACAGAGATGACAATATGCTTTATTAGAACGAAATACAAATAGAAAAATATAATATTGTTTTAACACTATTATAAAAATATGTATTTGCTACAGAAAGGCGATAATCAATCCTTTAACCTCCTTTAACCATCTGTATGAATCTATGGAAAGCGGAAGGTGTGGCGGTACTATAATTAAATAATAATTATTCTATAATCCCTGCCTACCCATTTAATTTACAGGCGTGGTGCAAATTATTATTCTTTTATACGTATAAGTCTTTTAGGTCTTAGCATGGTGTATACGTTCCATATGGCAACTCAATCCCCGCCCTTCAAATAACGATCAAATGGTTACCAAGGTTATAAAAAATTGGCTCATAAAATGTACATAGTTAGTATAATTTCTAGAATTAGCTCCTAGTCTCATTTTTTTGACTTCTCACAAATTCAATTAATTTAACACTTAATTTATGTGACAGATAAATTATTAAAAAAAAACATAGCTATTAAAAATCATTATGCAGGATATATCAAATTATTGCATTTTTTTATTTACTAAACAATTTACTACTTACGATGCTACAATAATATTGATTATTTGAATGTAATAAGATTTAACATATTGTTAGTTAGAATGTTAAAAGAAATTAACAAAATTAAATATTTACCATGTAATCCTTTACACTGAAAAATCCGAGCACATAAATAGTTGTCATTATCACACTAGTACGCACAGCATCACAGATAACATAAAAAATTATCACTAAACAAAACACGAAAAGTCAATACACGATACTTGAGACTTATGTCAAATTAAAAAATAAAACAATCAGCCATTTTGAAATCATGCCGTGACATATCATTTTTTAATAGTCGATGGCACAATTGGCGCGTTTAATGCATCTTTTTTTTTTTAATAAAATAAATGTCGTGCATTCAGCCAGCACGCTAACTCCGCTCTCCCGATATTTCGCGACTGAGTGAACGAACGGATCGGAGCGAAGCATTCCGTACCTGTTATTTTTCGAGGGGTAGCGCGTGCGTATAGGGCACCATAATAGGGCTGTCAACGCGGGGTTTCGAATTAAAATCAACAAAAGAAGAAAAAAAAAGCGCGGGGGGAGATTTTTTTTTCTTTCACTACGAAACGATCTTTAAGTCGCGTATAAATTAACTGATACACAAGTTGAACTTATAACTATATCTTTAAAACAACTCAAATTATTATTTACTAACGATTACCCGTGACTTCGTCTGCAAATAAAATAAAACTAAGTGTCTTGTGTTCTTCCAGACTATGTTCTACATGTGGCAAATTTCATCGAAATCCGTTAAGCTGTTTTCAAGGTAAGAAGTAACAAACATCCATACATCCCTCGAAACTTTTGCATTTATAATATTGAAGCATTTAATATGACTAAATGTGCCACATCTTTAAATTATCAGAGATAATAAAAGGGACTAAATACTGACAATTTTTTTAAAGCCAAATTATTGCAAGTAATTCAAAGATAAATAAATTTCCAAATATTATATTTTGTACGATATTTTTTTGAATCTATACATAAATATAAACAATGAAAATATTGCTCAAGTGACCCTTTATATTATACTAAGTTTTTTTCCATTCTCATTACGATTTCTTTGTTTATGAAGATATAACATGTAAGTAGAAATGTTTGTGTGAAGGACATCTCGTCAACCCTTTTGTTCACCTTTGTCTCGTGATGCGTAAAAAGTAAACATCGAGTTAACGCCTACGCGACTGCACTATTTGCGCAAATACTTAGGTATACTTCAATATATCCTGCGCAGTTTTTTTATTCAGGCAGATTTTAAGACCTACTTATACTTAACTAGCTGTCGCCCGCGACTCCGTCCGCGTGGGATTAAAGATAGATGTTGTCCGATTCTCAGACCTACTCAATATGCTCACAAAATTTCATGAGAATTGGTCAAGCCGTTTTGGAGTATGGGAACGAAATTGTGACACGAGAATTTTATATATAAGATATTGTTACAAAAAACACGTATTTAGCGTCATATAATAAAAGGAATTTATTAACCTTTAAAGTTCAATGATTTGAAAACAGTAAGGAGTTTTTAACAAATAATTTATAGGCACTATTTTATTATTTTTAATTACTTTAAATATTGGCAGTGTCTCAGCTTGTTCACAGCCTCGTCGCTTAAAACACTGGTAGCTCACCAAGTTGAAGACTTTGAAATTTTAAAAATAAAACAATTGCTAAGCGTGATATAAGCAACAAGATGTATTGATTAACAATATAGACTAGACAAAGAATGACGTCAGACGTGGGATGACGTCATTCCTTGTCCGACGTCAATTTCATTCTTCTCTGTACGCTTCGTAAATTTTAAATGACGGTATAAAAATGAAAACACCCCCACGATTTCGTAGTTACAACCTTAATTTGTATCCTGTTGAAATTATTGTGAGTTTCCACTGTTGTAAATACTGCATTATAACTGTACTAGCTGTCGCTAGTGACACCGTCCGCGCGGAATAAAAAAAAAACTCAATTGGTAGACTCTGTGTTTTTCCAGCCTATGTTCTGCATCTATACCAAATTACAGCGAAATCTATGTAGCCGCCGAGATACCTTCAAACAAACATCCATCTAAACATTCGCATTTATAATATTAGTAAGATTGGCATTCTTTTCAATCTTCAAGAGTAGGGTGAATAAACATTTAATAAGCTAGCGCGTACCACCTTCATCTAACGTCAGTTGGAATTGTAGGTTGATTCATTCAATGTAAAAAGTACTTTTATATTTTGTACATTTACAGGATGTCCTATAGTGCTCCCATTTAGAGCCCTTGATGGGTGTACTACAGGATGTTTGATGATATTGACTACAGGTTACTACAAGATGTTTATACATTATTTACGGAAAACGGTAAATATTATGAATGTCTTCGTTTTGTATAAAAGGTCAAATTACCGGATAAAATCAACAATTTGGCTCAAAACCTTATATCCATCAGCATTCATATTCAACATTATCTGTTGGTACGTTTTAAACGTGTTTGTTGTTGAAGCAATTTTTTTTATAGATCCAACAGGATGAATGAGCAAGTTTACGTAAACAATACCGCTCGTTGTAATAGCTTTTGGATTATTTCTGTATTGTTGCCGTCCTAAATACATAGGATTTTAGTAAAAGCTTTTTAGTATATCAAAGATAATAAGTTTTTTAAATCGTCGAATTAAGGTATTTTGTATATTTCACGCAATTTACTCGATTTCCGGTCAATTTGTTCGTTTAATAGTTTTTCAGACATTAATGGTCGAAGGAATTGATTGCGTTAATTTATAAGCATTTTTCAGATGCGTGAAGCATATATAAATGCAAATAATGTAAATACGTTACGGATTTACGACGCGTGAATTGCCTACAAAATACAAAACAACATTTCTAGAATAGTGTAAACCCAAAGTTTACTTGTGTATGATTCAAAATAATAGTCAAATTCGAACCCAAGACTAAGTTCGGACGTCTTCACTTTTAACCATTGGGCTATTTTATGTATTATATTTTTTTATATTCATCATCAGCTCACTATACGTCCTGACCGAGGGGCACGGAGCCTACCCTAAGTTAGGGATGACTAGATCGTAGTCAACCACGCAGGCCCAGTCCAAGTTGGTTGATTTACACTTTTTATACTAAGTAAAGTACCCTAGCTTAGGGTAGGCTCCGAGACCCTCAGTGGAGACGTATAGTGAGCTGATGATGATGAAAGTACTCAAACCAACAAAGTTATATTTCTCTACATTATGAATATCACCTACAGTTGTAAGGGTATAATTATCAAGTAATTGTTTAAGAAGTCGTTTAACTTAATTGCAACATCGATCGCGTTAAGTTATCTAAGTCAGCCATCAGAGCACTCGCGTTAATGAAATTGTATTTCCATTAGTTACACGTGTTTGGAATTGTTTTTAAATGATAAATAATTAACCTACAAATTGCTACAGTTAGAGTATAATAATTTTAAGGTTATTGAGGATATATTTTACTTTTAATAGAGGTTCTTGATGAATAACACAAGTTTACTTTGGAAAATTTATTCATGAAAGACAATAAAATATTTGACGTTTGACAGATGTACACTTTTTATAAAATTTTAACCAGCCAGTGCACATCTCAGCGGATTGTAAACTCCAACAGGATTTAGAAAGTTTGTATAATAAAAAAAAATCTTTTTAATATATATATCTTTTTTGACCTGAAAGTAAGTACCTAGGACATGGCATTGTGAAATATTCTGCCAATGATTAATTCCAGTTTTAAAACAAAAAGGTAACCAATAAAAAGGCAATAAAATTAAAAAATCGTCAGTAACAATATCAAAAGCTAATAAAACTGTTGCAATAAAATTTTTTATTGTTTGCAGAAAATGACAAAAGGCAAAAAAAACAATTCATCATAAAGAAAAGTTCGACAGTCGTGTGTAAAAATTTATTACATTTTTTTAATAGATTTAGATGAACGAAAGTAATAAAAATATGTTAATTATCTGCTTGGGTAGTTAAATCGTTAAATATAAGAAAGTTGCACAAAAAGATCAAAGAATAACACACAATAAAATAACAGAAATTGCATTTATAATACGAATGAATGGAATATTTAAACGAGGTCAATGAACTTTAGAAACAAAATGGAAACATTCTTTTACTGTAAAGAATAGTCTAGATTACGTGTAAATATTTTTAATTGCTAGGAAAACATTTATTACAATATATTCATTTATTTCAAAGTTTTCCTAAAATAAATTGTTTCAATTCTTTAAACGTGAGAACGAACACGTTTTGGAAAGAGAGTTTTGGCAGTGAGAAACAGAACAGAAACATTTTTATAAGTAGAAAGTCGAACCAGGATAAAAGAGAAACCTCTATAACCGACAGTCATTGTTCGCTCTTGACGGATGACCTTCATAAGCGTGAACCTTTACAAGCGAGAAAATATTAGTAATTGCCATACGTGGTTAATGATCACTAAGGGCGTCTTTTAGTAAGAAAATCTAAATTTAAATAACCTTGACGAGACTCTGAGTACGTCAGTTAGAAATTCTGTAAGTATAAAGTGTGACCGTGTGGACGACGAGCGTATTTAGCCTTATCAAATGGACTACAGGCGCGGTTGCGCTTTCAAAGAGGCGAGAGTCGAGCCCGAAAACCAATTTCGTTGCTTTGATGCTTCCCGGAATCACTCTCGGACTTTTGAATATTGATTTTTAGCGCACTATGTTAAAAGATTTAAAACTTGCTGGGGAAACATATACCACGGAAGACTTTTTTAAGCCGACTTTCCATCTAGCTGGTGACTGTTTATGTGGAGTTGCATGTCCTATTTCCATTTATCTTTTATCTGTAGTATACCTAAATCAATTTGATTGATTAAACATGTTTTTGATAGTCTATTTGTTTCGGATTCTATCAGAACGTAAATCAAGATAAAAATCAGTCGTAAATTCACTTTCCTTGTATAGGGCGCTGACAGGTCGGTATACAACGGACCTTGTCTAATTTTTTGGAAGCTGGTCTGTCTGCCTCGGACCAGGTTAATTTGGTAGATAAAATTGCAAAAAAAATGAATTCTGGATACCCCAATTTTTAATTAATTGGCCCTCCATGTAATTAAAATCTGGTATCATTTGATCACTCTGGCAACACTGTGAGACGATTAACAATTTACCCAAAGAGTATATAAAATTTACCTCTATAAATGGACAGGCTATAAGATGATATTTGGTTTTGGCCATTTTGGCGCTGGTTGTCGCAGCTTGGAGCGGTGGCGTGGATTTGAAGTTATAATGCAGATAAAAATTAATTATTAATTAACTGGGCGGCGTGAAATCGTAACGAAACAAAAACTATCATTTCCGGGCAATCGCCTATCCATTTATAGTGATCAGTGGTTATCACGCTAGCCATTAAACTAATCAATTTAGCGCCATCTTAATTTAAAACTTCACACTAATAGTGCCAAATTATGTACAAAATTTAACAACCGTTACTAGATGGCGCTGTTTGGAGTTGTCAATATTTCCTGGAATAAAAGGAGTTCTTGCAATATTTATATTTCAAGCTCAACGCCTTGTAGATTTTAAAACTATGCCTTATTAAGATGTCATGGCGATGTTGCAGTGCCTGTGAGCTGGCTACTTCTGGCATCAGTTCGTTTTACGTTGTCAGAAATGGATGGATGCAATCGGATTTAATTATCTCTCGGAATCTACGTTGTCCAAATAAGTTTGGTATCCAGCGACGTTGTCATGGGGTGTTAATATGGCAGAGCTAAACATTTGGATTTGTACTAACGCACCCCAAATAATAATCTAAATTAAAAATTCCTAAATTAGCAATAATGCTTCTCTTTCAGTGAACATGACACACCTTCACAGACATGAGCTATACAAATGATTTAACTCATCATCTTGCCGCATTTCTTAAGAAGGGTCGAAGGAAACTGTTTAAATAAAACGCAAAAGTAAACGTAATTAAAGTTTATTGTGTCTAGCCCTGTTTCTGAGCGATCTCGCGCGCCCTAGCCTTTTCTAGCTTGGCGATGCGCGCGTTAGACTTGTTGCCGAGAACACCGCCGCCCCAGTGTCTGCGCAGCTCCTCGTATCGCTCGTTGAAGTTGGTCTTGATGGCTTCCACCAGCTTAGAGAAGGCTGCCCGGTCACCAGATTCCACCTGCAACAAAGTCATTCATGTCAAATTTTGTTGAAAATGTAAGATTCAGTAGAAAGAGGTAGGAAATGGTAAGATGGCATATTAGATCATCTATTTTGGTGGTAGAAAGTTTATCCGCATAGCTTTTGGTTAGCAAATACATCATCATTTTATGCACATCTTATGATAATTTCAGATTTAGATTATAAATGTGTAAATTTTGAATTAAAAAAGGTATAAAGCAGGTAAAACACAAAAGTTGAAGTATTGGTCGTTAGTAGTAGAGAGAAAAGACTGTTTTCATCTTGTTTGAAGATAAAATCTTGTTTTACATACTCTAAAGTAAAAAATAAATTAGAACATTATTTCAAAGTTTTACATAAAAGTATTATACTTACATGTGTCAAAGCTAAGCTGGTGCAAGTCTTGCGGTGCACGAGAGCTCCGAGCCTGGACTTGCCTTTCACAATGCAGTAGGGCACACCCATCTTACGGCAGAGGGCGGGCAGGAACAGCACCAGCTATAAAATAACATATCATGTAGACTGTGACACAATGACTACTGATATGGACAGTTCAATCGAAGTCAGAGTCAACACTCTTCATGCAGCATGTAAATATCTTTGTATTCACAGCCTCAGGTGAAGAAATTCTTACATCATTAGAAATTTAAAAGATATTATAAGCTAGATTTTGTTCGCGACTTCCCTAAGCATGAAATTAAATAAGAAAACTTAATATGTGTTTTTCCGGAGTATGTTCTACATCTATGCCTTTTAGTGAGATCTGTAGAGCTGTTATGGAGAAACTTTCATACAAACTTTTGCATTTACAAACATTTCAAATATATTACATTTTATAAAAAATTAATAATTAAAAGTATTATATAAAAATAGAGCATCATCAGCTGCGGAATGCGGAATTGCTCAAGCAACCAGCAGTTAGGGCTGCAGAGAAAGAAACCTTCTCACTCAAAGTTTTACCACAATACCAATAATTAATTGAATACTGTATTAATTATCTATAATTTACCTCAATAGGGTCAACATCATGTGCAATCACAACAAGCTGAGCCTTCTTCTTCTCCACAAGCTTGGTGACAGTGTTTGTGCCGGCACGAACTGTGTTAGGCCTTTTCGCTGGTGGTTCATCTTTCTTGGCAATCTGGAATCAAATACTTAACTTAGATTCCATAGTAAAAAGTTTGTTTTTTAATTAGCTTTTAAGATTTCATCAGAGATCTTGGTGGTTAGGGGTCTTCATGGCCATCTGAATTATTTTGTTATGCATCATATTATGTGTATTTGTTATATAAATTTGTAAGTTATTCCAATATAAGTTTTAAGTAAAACCGTCTCATCTTCATATGCATAAACATATATTATTTACACTTCCTAGTATTCTAAAGGAGAATTTATTTTTATATCAGTCAAATTAGTGACACAAACCTTAGCTTCCGCAGCTTTCCTCAGTCTCTCTTTCCTGACAGCTTCAGTCTCGGGCCTGTATTTCTCCAAGAGTTTGAACAGACCTTTGGCTGGAATAATGATTTAATTTTAATATTGCTTATGATACAACAAATCATATGACATTAATTGAATTACATCAGAGTTAAAAAGCTCGTATTGTTTTTGATAATCATAGTGATTCATAGTTGCATTTGATGTTCATCATTTGAAGTTTTTGTCATATCTTAAAATATTTAGTCACTAAATTTGTAGTCTACTTTAATGCATAAAAATTGTGACAAAATTCTCAATTGGTCATTTGAATGTTTTATTTAAAAACTATTTAATCTAGGTTATTTTAGATTCATAAATGTTTGTTAGTCCTACATACCTGTGGTCTTATCGAGGGTCTGGGTGAACTGATTGATTGGAGGTGGGACCTTGAGACGGCGTTGAAGAACCGCCTTTTGGCGCTGGATGCGGATGTACTTGGGCCATCTCACGAACCGGGAGAGGTCACGTGTCGGCTGGATATCCTGACCTGACAAAAGCCTCAATTATTATTTGGATACTGTGCACAAAACAACTAAAAACTTTACCTAAATTAAATATTTTCACATTTAAATTGAATTATCATAGAATTAGGACCAATATCAGTGTTAAAAAGCTCGTATATTTGTGTACCTCATGGTATTTCAGGAAATGTTTTTACATCATTTATGATCCAAATAAAATTTGTTGATACTGCATATAAGTTTCAAACTCACCGATAGCAAAGTTCTTAGTCCTCTTCTCGAAGAGAGGGTTAACAATCTTCTTGGGTTCAACTTTCTTGACAACCAATGGGGCTGCCGCAACTTTTTTCCCTACCTTCTTCTTAGGCTGAAATTAAGAACACATTGTAGAGCATGGTAAATTACTGTTTAGCTTTAAATAAATTACGTTGTTATCAAACAGCACTACTTTCTAACCGGATAATTCGAAATGCATAAACACCATGCTCTTGTTTTCGGAGGTTATGTTTTTTAAGCAAGAGATTAGTATTAAGAAACATTATTAAACTGTTTACATCCAACAAGTCAGTATAGTATACAGTAATATTTCACACAATTGACCCAAGAATTATTTACACACTTGGTTCTATCACACAAAAACAAAAAACGTTTCAAACACTTAACACAAAGTTATAGTCAATACATAAACTGCAACTTTTGCTAATAAAATATAGTATTTTACTAAACGCACATGGTTTTTACCTTCTTCTGCACCATCTTGATTGAACTTTAAATAAGTGATCTACGGGACACGAAAAGATTCGTGACCCAAACAGAACACAAGACTTTCGGCAAAAATGGCCGATGTTAAAAGATCGAGGAAAGGCGGAACAGAAACGTCAGTGCAATGTACAGATAAAAAATGACAGCGTTACAGATTATAAGCCATTTGATGTTTATGGTTTTAAAAAACTTAAATATTTTATTAAATAATTTAATAAATTTAGTTTTGTTTTAATAATTAGTAATTTAAAGTCGGTTATTTAATAGAAATACTACTTTTATTTCAAAAAATTTTTAAAGAAAAATAGCGTTGTCTGAAAAGGAGATAGCAAGTTCGCGATTTTGCCTTTACAGATTTTTTTTTCTAATTTGGCTGAGACTTTTTTAAGTTTTTAAGCATATCGCTTTTTATGATCGGATAGAACAGATACCTACATTTTAAAATTACAATAACAACACGGTTTAAATGAATACTTATTAATTAATTAATAATTGGTTAAATACGTAGCTCTTATTTAGGTTCGTTATTGAGCGTAGTCTTGCGGGCAATATTTGAGTGCACGATAAAGGCTGATTGAAATGTAATGTATTTTTTATTGAGTACATAAGACTGGAAGAAATTGAAAACAGGCTATAAAATTACATTTCTTATAAGGAAAATGGTTTGTAAAACGATTATATTTTTTGTCTTAGGTGAGCCTAACATAGTAAAGTACTTTTATTCATATATTATTTCGGAAATGAAGTCCATTAAATTAATTTTTTGGAATATTCGAGTTACGTACCCCGTTTTTTATGTCATCAAATAGTTATTATAAATCTTTATTTTGTGTTTATAGGTTTTGCAGCTTTTGTAGTCCAATATTGCTTCTATGAAAGATATCTGTTTTGCTCGTTTTTTTATAATTTAGTCCCGATTAAGTGCTGATTAAAACATCTTTTCAGCTATAACAAAATGCTCAAACCCTGTAAAAGTGAGTGTCCAGGGTCAAATATCCCTTGGAAAAGAAGTTATGGAGACATTATCACATTTCATTGAACCAGACTTGATAAATGGTAGAAGGTCAATGATGTCACATGAAGAAAATGAAATATCCAAGAAAATTACGTCTAAAAATTTATGTCAAGATTTACCATTATGTGATGGACGTTCATCTTTCGTTGATAACTATCTTATATTACTTACCACCGCGGTAGACAGCATACTAAAGACATCTCCCATAAAAGAACTGTCACTAAAACTGTTCTATGAGGACTTACCACAGATTTTAAGAGATGTAAGAAAAATTCTTAAAAGTGCTAATGCAAAAGTTAGTGATTCAACAGAATTTTATTATTGGAACAGCGTTCTTAAGAAAGTTAGTGGCAAATTTCATGGCTTCCTAACGCTAACATTGATTGAAAATTTCAAAGACTATGATAATACTAATGATATTAAAAACGTTATACAAAAAATTGTAACAGCACTTGTTATAATAGAGACGAAATACGTAAACAAGCTTTGTATAGAACATAAAATATGCATCAAATCATTCGAATGTACAAAGGCGTTGCATAGAATTTTAGAAAAATTAACAAGTCTCCCTGACAACGGTATTAGGTCGTTTATGAAACACTTTTATGAAGCTTTGTTCGCAACTACTTTCTATTCAAGATTAAGTATTGTGACTACAAGAGAGTTTCAGGTCATTTTAAATAATTTAGCATTCTCCAACAACGTTTCCGCTAAAGATTTATTACAATCTGTACAAAAAAGTGTTGAAATGCGTCTTGATTTGATAACGACTCCAAGTGATAAGCAAATGGGTTATGACGTAATATTAATTCATATAATTTTATCAGATTTGGATCATTTTTACAGCAAGAATAAACAGTTTTCTTTTTATAATTTTATCAAATACTTTATAGATTGGAATACAGACGGTACTCTTGGTAAGCATTTGCGTAAATTAATGAACGATATAGGACACGAAGTTACAGTACAACCGCACGAATTGCCTATAAAAATTACCAATGAAGTTAGAGTGTTTTTGGAATTGACAATAGATCCTGATGAGTAAAACGATTTAAAAAATAAACTATCAGTTGTTTTATTAAACTTAATAAATTGGATATAATTTTCTGACTTCAACCAACCAATTAAACGTAACAAAAGCATATAGCACAGTTTGCGGCATGAACTGTGGACCTAGCATGAAATATTTGTGACAATCGCCAACGTAAAGTGATTGTTATCGTCAACTCACTATACGTCCCCACTGAGAAGCTCTGAGTCTCCCCTAAGTTAGAAGTTACTAGGCCATAGTCGACGCTGGCCCAGTGCGGGTTGATTGACATCAAAGTCATTGTCAATTATGTTTGTCAAAATGTGTACTTTATTTACTGCACAAATAATAAAAATGTTATCGATAACGAAACGATTGGGATTGTCACAAATATTCGTACTAGGCCAAATATTTGATAATGCTGAAACTATAATACAAAACAAATAGCTTTCTGTCAATTTTGACAGTTAGTAATTGCCACAGTTTGTGTGCCAGTTGCCATTATCTGTGTAAACTAACGATAAAGCAATTAAACGCTCCATCACCTATAAAGGAGCTTCCGTTCCCGTATCCTTTGATCCTGGCCTTGATAATAAATAATTAATCTACCAACTATGCAATATTAATTAAGGTTTAAATAGTAATTTAGGTTAGTTCATGTACACCTTGTTCCAAACTAAAGTTATATAAAACATCGGATAATCCCCTCATTTTAACGTCTCAAATCTTAATCTCTATCTATCTATAAAAGAAAGTCGTGTTAGTTACACTATTTATAACTCAAGAACGGCTTTACTGATATGGCTGAAAATTGGTGAGGGGGTAGCTTAGAGCCAGGAGACGGAGATAGGATACTATTTATTCATTTTTTTCGAATTAATGCCTTGAAGAGATGCTTTTATTTAACTTACTAATATTATAAATGCGAATGTTTAGATGGATGTGATGTGGATGGATGGATGGGAGGGCTACACTAATTAAGTTAGTGGAAGAACACATTAGCTTTTAATTATTATTATTTTTAATTCCGCGTGGACGAAGTCTCTAAAGCTAGTACAGAATATTTGTAGAAAAAAAACTTCACAAAGTATCCGCTTTATTTTCTTTGTAATATTTTGAAATATAATATTATTGTTTTAATTTACAATAAACAAGACATTTAATGAATTTAAACGTGTCGTATTAGAATTTGGCTTATCAAAGTAGCTAACGAATTAATGAATTGTTCGAAAAGAAATTACAAAATATCATTTCACAATAATATTTCGCATTTATATAAAAGGAAATGCAACTTGTCAGTTAAATAAATAAAGCAAAATGCAATTAACAATTGTGATTTTTTCTTTGTGCTTAATTTTGGTAAGTTTATTATCATTCTTAAATAGTTTTTTTTTAATATTAGCAGATTTTTTTTTTTGGAAATTTACTAATATTTCTTTTACCATTCCAACTAAGCTCTGTGCTTGTGTTGGTGTTATGGTTTACGACAATAGTCGAATGGCGGAATCTGAACCCCCGACCTTGTGATCGGAAACCCTTAACCATTAGGCTATTGATGCTTCGAGTTATATAATATAGCTATAGTTTTAGTACATTTTTAATTAATTCAAGAAGAAACTAAAATAAAACTAATTACTTAATACACTTTTACAGAACACATATTGTCTACCATGCTGTGATTTATGTAAGTTGGAACCAATTGGACCTGACTTTGGCGTATCTTGTACCACCCGTACAAGTTGTGCAAACATTTGCACCAATGTTTGCCAATGCGGTCAAGCTTGCGGATGCAACAGAGATATCGCATGTCCTTGTGATACTTGTCATCGTATGTCACCTGTCAAATCATGTCTTGAATGCTCCTGTGACAGTATTTATTTTCCTGAAGTCGAATATCCAAATTGTTGTACGAATAATTTAAATCCAATGTACTATGGATCATGTTGGACGTACTAAATGACAAGGAGTGTCAAAACTTAGAGTGAGAAATGACTGTAAAGAAAAGTTTGGCCAAAATTGACGATAGATGGCGTTGATTCGAAATACTAATTTATGGCTTACTTCGAATAAATGTTTAAACACAATGAGATGGAGGAGATGATGATAGATAATATATAGGAGCTATTATACAATATTTATTAACCAAAACTGTTATGACATTTTTACACATGACGTAATACATTAGAAATATAATAATTAAATTACAAAGAGAAAGTTGTTTCCCTAAGAACATATTGTTAATCTACTTCCAAAGTTCTAAATGAAGTCACGTAAGGATAATAAAATAACAGTCGCCACTAAAAGTGTACGGACCAAAGTAAAGATCCCTTTTCCTTTTAATAGTAATTTTGTTTTAGAAATATAAGGAAATGGACGACAAAATTATATTATACAAGAGTTTAGGTTCTAGAATCTTATACTAATCTAATCGATATATTAATGAAGTTTAAATTAAATTTGATCGTATACATAAAGTTCTTTAACTTTAAGTTATAAAATGGGACCTTATTCCAACATAAGTTCCGATATTTGATTTAAAAGTTGTCGCAAAGCGGAGACCTGGCGTAGACGGGAGCAACTTATTTCTTTCGATTCAAGTAGCAAATTATTTTTCTATTAGCTTCAGACTGCTAGAGTTACCTTTTTCAATTCGTAATGTGCAAGAAGTTGAAAACAAATAAAAATAAATAGGAGTAAAAAGTTGTTCCTTAAGAGATTTTCAGTGTTTTTCTATTGCACATAACTTCATTTCTCCTTAGAAATTATGTTAACAAAATGTTTTTCAACTAATGTAATATGAGAGGAAACTTATGGATTCTTAATATTTCAAAATATTTGAACTTTATACTAAAAGCATGTTAATAAAGATTGTAAAGAAAGTTATAACTATTATTGTTGAATGTTTTTTGTAAATTGGCTGATAAATATAAAGTTTGAATGATGTCCGTAAAAGTAAAATGGAACACAATTTTAAATTAAGAACGCAATAATTTTTTTGTGCTATAGAAAAAAATTGTAAAGCCTGCGATCTTTGTAACTTATATTACAAAAGGTTCAATTTTCTATTGTACCTCTTGTGCATTTTGTACAATTTCAACCAACATATTTATTGAATTGGACGTATAAAAATCGTTTACATTTTATTGAATCGTTAATCGACAAAAAAATAAAGATATTTACAATCACTAAGTGATTAAATCTACACTAAGCTACGATTTATGTAGCACTTAGATAACTGCAGTAAATACCGTAAAATGGACGTTGGAATATCGTTAAATTAAAAATAAAAAGAACATTATATTGTCATCTCTTTCTTTCTTTTCAAAAATAAAGACAACAATATATCTGTCAAGGTGTTATAGAAATGGAAACGGTTAGAAATATCATCTAAATCTACATAAAATACGATCCCGTATTTGCATAGAAATGTTGGCAATAACTTATTATGCGGGACGGTGAAGGAAACCGAAATTTATGTTACCAACGTTACGTAATTACTAATTCATTACATTTATTTTAAACTAGCTATCGCCTGCGACTTTGTCCACGCGAAATACTTAAATAAAAACACTTAATCAATAGCCTATATATTCTTCCAGATTATGTTTTATATGCCAAATTTCTAATAAATATCCATCCATCCATACTTGTATAATTAACAATAAAGTCTGTTATACAGCTCAGTCTCTTACCATCGTTTTCTTAATTCACCGACTGTTCGTAAGTATGTATTAAAAGGTCTTAATAAATAAATATAAACATCAATATAAGATGTTCGAAGATTTTTTTATAACAAACGGATGCCGTCACAAGATTCAATCACGAAGAATGACGAGGGTTCGAGACTGAATCTAAATTTATTGCTCAATACGTTACTTTCAAATAGGCTTACTTTATTTATCTTGACTCGAATACTTACGCGTAAAGTATTTTAGATAATTACGTTTACTTTTTTATACATTGTAAGTTGACAATCAATCAGCCATCAGAATTCGCTCAAACAACGGATACAAGTTGATACTTTCCTTCTCTATGCGTCTTCTCCGCCAAGTCCATTTTTCCTCCTCATCATCTGCCACGAAAAGGCTGGGAAGGGAAAGATGACTAAAACTACGCCTCCAGCACACTCATCAGACGAATCGTGCAATTGCGTCTACTTGATGCCTACACACGTCACACTCTGAGTATGGTAATCAGTGCTTAAAATATATAAATTCCGATTACTATATATACTAATATTATAAAGCGGAAGAGTATGTTTGTTTCTTTGTTTGTTTGTTTGTTTAAACGCGCTAATCTCAGAAACTAATGGTCCGATTTGAGATTTTTTTTTTATTGAATAGTCCATTTATAGAGGAAGGCTATATAACATTACGCTGCGACCAATAGCATTTTTAATTCCGCGCGAACGGAGTCGCGGACGACAGCTAGTAATTAAGAAAATAAAAACTACAAATCTGTAAAATAAACTTTCATGACATGATTCGTAGATTTTTTTTTTGTAAAAAATTTATTAGCAAATTTTTTGTAAATTTACTAATATTTGTTTTACCTTTCGAATGGCGGGATTCGAAACCCCGACCTCGTGATCCGAAATCCGTATCCTTAACCACTAGGCTATTGACGCGTAAAATTTACTGTTGCTTAAGCAATTATTTAATGGCTTTGTCGGATAAAATGTTACGAATTTAAAAATATTTCGAGTGCGACGTCAAAGTTTTTTTGAGAACGGTAAGCTTTTGTTAAAAACTTGTACTTTAACGAAAAGTTTTGTAACAAATTCGATGTTTCTGATAGTACTCTTATGTTCACTTTGATGTTTTTATTTCTACTGAATTTTAAACAATTTGGAGTTAAACACGACTCACTAAATACTTAATTGGTTTATTGAATTAATGGGTATATAACAATGAATTTAATCTCCATATTCATCAATTAAGTTACGTGTTAAAAATGTTTGTGAAATCAACAACATAAAATATTTAAAGTTATTATAAATTCAAAAGATTATTC